ATATATATATGTTTGCTAATGTGGTTTGACCATTCCAAACACAAAACCTCCCGCAAGCCCTGATTATGTTACATAAATGATTAGTAGTGTTTTATTTATTTACTAAGTTTTACTGAAGTACATTTATCATCACCTCCAACAAATTAATTGCCAGGCTTGTCATAAAATTCAATATGTATAAAAAACAAAAAAAACAAATATTAGTCTGTGTCTGTATTATTACTTTCAGACGATGAGTCTGAGCAGCAGACTTGGCAGGCCCAATTTTAATCTGTTTGTCCTCCGTCTCTCCATCTAGTACTCGCTGTGTAACGAGCCGCTGATTGAGTTGAGCAATCCGGGAGCGAGCGGCTCCATTTTCTATGTGACCAGTGATGACGAGTTTATCATCAAAACCGTCCTGCACAAGGAGGCAGAGTTTCTGCAGAAATTACTCCCTGGATATTACATGGTAAGAAGATAGGATTTTTGAAAAAAAAAGTATTCTTAGTAGGCCTTCCAATATTTAATTTGTATGATTCACATGATCAAAAAAAAAAAGTTTAATATGAGAAAGATATATCTGAGTAAATGCAAAAATCGGTTTTAACACTATTAATTAGTTTATTAAGGGGGAAAATAACTATATAACCTCCCCTACCCAGTTTATTTATAAATTAACTGATTAGCCACATTTTTTGATGACTAATCATTTGGCAAAACATATTTTGATGATCCCCAAGACTTCTAGGAAAAAAAAAAATCATTGAGAGACAAAAGGTGAATTTTTCGGGAGGTGTGCGTCCTATTACATCCGCAGTAAAACTAATGCAGCATTTCAGAAAAAAAAAACAAAAAAAACATGACGGCTCCAGTTGAGCATGGTAGAGTGATAGTCAGGGGCTGCGTTACTGCCGCAGTACCTGGAAAACTTACCATGAAAATGGTACATTTGGTGGGCAGCTACCCCTTCATAAAGAACCAGACGGGTTTGCACACTTTGTCCTCTTAATACATGAATTCACCAACTGCATTTTGCTTTCACTCTGGTTATCTTTCTCTGACATTGATATTCGTCATCCAAGTGCGACAAGCAAGCAAAAAGCAGAAGACATCTTAACAAGGGAAATAGTTTTGCAAAGCACATAATTAAATCTACTAAATCTCTCTGAGAGCAGTAGGGATAGTGAGCTGTTTGTGTGCATGGCCTCTTACTCAAGAGGAGCGGTGCAACAGAATCTTCCAGTCATGTTTATCCTCTTTATCCACCGCTGATGCTGGCTCTCTGTCAGCTGTGACATCAGCAGGTGACTTTGGGATGGGTCAAAGCTCACAGGCATGCTCAGTTCTCGGCGAGGAGTTAAGTGCGCGCGCAGGCTTGTGGCGTGGCCCGATGAGGTCACGCTGTCTGGCAGGTGCGAGCCCCAATGGAGCATAAGCCCATTTACCACTAATATGCTTTGTTTCCTTTTTCCTTTTCCTCTGCCTTTGTCTTTCAACCCGTCGACCAGAACTTGAACCAGAACCCCCGCACTTTGCTGCCCAAGTTTTTTGGCCTTTACTGCGTCCAGTGTGGCGGCAAGAACATTCGAATAATTGTGATGAACAATATATTGCCACGCTCGGTTCGCATGCACCTCAAGTTCGACCTCAAGGGCTCAACGTACAAGAGGCAAGCCTCCAAGAAGGAAAGGGAGAAGTCCAAGCCCACGTTTAAAGACCTGGATTTTCTGAGCGACGTTCCCGAGGGCCTCACTTTGGATCAGGAAATGTACAGCGCTTTGGTCAAAACACTGCAACGGGACTGCCTGGTGAGAAAGATGGCAAAGAGGGGGAACGCATTATGGGTTAATAGATAAAGTAAAAAAAATAAAAATAAAAGCAGGTGTTGCAACAAAGAACATTTTGTTTAAATCCCCTTAAAACATTTTCATTATGTTGTCAGAGAACATCTCAAAACACACTTCGTTCCTTTGTAGGTTCTGGAAAGTTTTAAGATCATGGATTACAGTTTGCTGCTTGGCGTTCACAACCAAACCCTAGCAGAGAAAGAAAATCAGTCCCAGGGCTCACCAGCAGGAGGCGGCGATGAGAAGAAGCCTGCAGGACAGAGGGCTCTCTATTCCACCGCTATGGAGTCCATACAGGGCGGGTCCACATGCAGGGACGCACTGGAGCATGATGACACGTATGTCCCTATTTCAAAATATTGACCGTCGTCGTCCTACAGCATTTAAACCTAATGGCAAATTATTTTTCTTATCTAGTATGGGAGGAATCCCAGCAATGGGAAGTAAAGGAGAGCGCCTCCTGCTGTTCATTGGGATTATTGACATTCTGCAGTCCTACAGGTAGAAAATGAGCTTATTTGTTGCATTTTAATTACCACTATGCTCAAGAAAGGAGACTAACAGGGGCGGTAACTGAGGCATGACATATTCAAAAAATGGAAGAAAGTAAAAAAATAAAAATAAAAACTTATGAATAACTCTGAAAGCCTAAATAAAATTCAGTGTAACTTTGGGTGCTTTTAGAGAAAATGTATGAAAAGAAAGAGCATTATTAAGAGCTAGGAACACAGCAGACAGGTCAGAAATAAAGCTGCAAGAGGTTGAAAGAACCTGTTGACTGGACACCTAGTAGGTCTTTATGTGTGGCAGGACAAGCGTAGTCAAAGTCCAGATTTTCATCATGTTGAGAAATTGATGAAAGACCAGAAGTTTGATATTCATAGATTCTCTTTATCCAATCTGACTGAGTTATTTTGCAAAGAAGAATTAGCAAAAATAATTGAGGCTCTAGATGTGCAAAGCTAGAAGAGACAAACTCCAAAGACTTTGCAGCTGTAACTGCAGCAGCAGCAGGTTCTGTAACATCCAAACGCATGGCACATTTCTAGGATTTTATTTGCTAAAAAAAAAAAAAAAAATCCCAACTTGCAACTGTCATTCCGGTTGATATATGACAAAATGATATGACTGGTATAGGTTTGCAATTCACTTTAAATAGCAATGTGATGTTGCAAGAAGATGCCAGGGAACAAATGATGAGCCATTCTTTTAAATACACTTTAAAATACACGTCAATGAAGTCTGTAATTAAATGTAATTGTTTTGTCTGACAGGCTGATTAAAAAACTGGAACACTCCTGGAAGTCTCTCATCCACGATGGAGTAAGTTGCTTTCATGTGGCTGCTTTTAATTTTCTTTATTTAAGTACACCAATCCACATTAAGCTGTCTATTTATGCAAGCTAATTAACTATGCTAAGTCTTTCCATAGTCATTGTTGTTGGAGGGCAAGACTTAATTTTGAACACTGCTGTCTTCCGTTGCATCGCAGGACACGGTGTCGGTCCACAGACCCAGCTTCTATGCGGAGAGGTTCTTCAAGTTCTGCAGCACAGTTGTCTTCAGGAAAAGCTGCTGTGAGTTGAACATTTCACAACATGTATTTGTCATTCTGATTACTGGTATGAACATCTAGCGTTCTGCACGAGGTTTCAAGGTAAATCACATTTTTCCTTCCAGCATTACGGCCATCTCCGTCTAAGAAAGGTCGAGGGGCCCTCTCGGGGTCCAAGTACAGTGCCGGAGGCGGATCGGCCGGACAGCGTCCCTCACTGACTGACGAAAGGCAGGAAAACCTGGAGAACTTGGAGAACCTCAGAGGAGCCCGTAGCTTCTCTATACAGGAAGAGAATGGTGCGCTATGCTGGAAGCAGTAATAGTAATAACACTAAAATGCCTTTTTCTTTCACTGCGATTTAACTGCTTCAATACATTATGTCTCTTACTTTCATCCTCAATGGCTTACTCCTTTTTTTTTTGTTTAGCTGATATAAAGGGAGTCTCTAAAGATATAATTAGAGAGGAAGGAAAGGCAATGTAGAAACCAGGGAAACAGAAAATGAAGCTCCACTCAGAAGTTTCTCTGCAATTTATGTTGGGATCATTGTCCTGTCGGAACACCCGGTTGCATACAAGTTTTACCCATTTGAATCCCAAAGTTGATATATCCAGATGAAAGGAAATTGGATGTTTGGATGTCATTGTCCACTGTGAACCCATTTTAACATCAGCCTGAAATAAGAAGGTGCTGGTCAAGCATAAAGACTTTGATCGTGAATCGCCTCCCTGAAGCTCGATTTAAGCCAGATGGCTTCTGCAGAAAACTTTTATGGTCGGACAAGACAAAGATTGAGCTTTTTGGTCATAGTCACTAAAAGTAGGTGAGGCTGTCAAACTAGAAACCACTGCCCTAAATGTTCTGTTAGAACACAGTTGGCCCTCTTAAAACAAGGTTTTGATTGAAGTAAGCAGACTGACATTTCGCTTCCAATCAGAAGCGTGCAGCTGCGTGTGTAACTTTAATGGTCGGAATAAAAAACAAACAGAAATGTGAATAAATAACTTCTTTTGTCTCGCTCATATGCTATTAATGTTGTACTTTTGCTCCATTCAGGTAAAGAGCCACCCTGCACCCCTCCGTCATTTGAAGACGCAACGACAGCATCTATTGCAACCACACTGTCATCCAACAACTCTTTACCGACCACCCCGTTTGATACTCCAGAACACCCGCGCCCCAGAAGACAAATGCATTCACCAAACATTGTCAGGTCAGAGATATTGTCCGTGCATGCCAGCAGTTGTGTTATGATACGAGACCCACTCAACTGTAAATGTTCAATCGTACTTTCTATTTTCTTGTGTCAAAAAAAAAAGATCACAAAAAGAGCTGGTTGAGGTTCACGGCGAACGTCAGGACACTATAACCGTGGAAGTGGAGCTGAGGTACGAACCTCAGCAAAAGTGCTATCGCTCACTCAGTTATGTTTGTTGTGCTTCATCTGTTTCGTTTGTGTTTTCTCAAACAGCAAGATCCCGCAGAGTACGGAGCTGACGCAGAGGGCAGAGACCCCGTCTTCCAGCCAACAATCGCTCAGTCATCAAACTTGCACAGCAGCGCCGTCCGCCCCCAGCTCTGCATGTCCGTCCTCTGCATATTCCTCCGCCACTCTTCCTCCTTCCTTTGCGTCATCCTCCTCTGCTCAATGTGCTGCCCAGTCATCCTCTACGCTTTCTTCGTCCATCCGTCCGTCCACCGAGCCGCTCACCTCTCCAGGAGCCGCTCGGTCTCTGATTCTCTCTTCTCCGGTCTCTGGCTCTAAAGCAAAATCTGTTCAGCTTACCGGTTTGTCTCCAAACGCCTCCACCCTCACTCCTGCCTCGGCGTTCACCCCCATCCACCCGGCGTCCGCCAGCTCCTCCCAGCATTTCCCCTCCACGCCTCCCTCGTCAGCCCCTTCGAGCCCCCAGTTGCCTCAGGAAGAACCGCGAACTTCACAAAAGCAGCTTTCGGTGTCCAGCAGCCACAGCTCCTTGGAAGCGGAGGTGCAGGTCTCTGACATTTACTTTGTAAGTTCCTACCCCAAATGTTTCTGTGTTCATGTCACATATAGACAGAGAACGGATCGGGAAGTAAAGCTAACCGAAATTAGCTGAAAGGTCACAATCACATAAGAGTGAGTTGAGACCAGGCAGTGAGGATAACTTGCTTTCTGTTTCTGTATGATCTACTGGATCCTCTGCAGTGGTCCAGTCAGGATAGCGTGGTAGAGTTGTGATGGTGAGAAGGTCTCTGTGTGCACGCTATGGGAGCTGCTCTTCCTGCTTTATTTCTAAAGCCTGATGCCTGAAAAAGGACCTGCTTTTAACTGATATCACCAAAAACAAAACAAAAAAAAACCTGCACAGCATGAAGTCCATCCATCGTTCTCCTTTTTTTCGTTCAGTTCTTTTCACTACATCTGGTTTTGATTTGATTGTTTGCCACGTTCATTCTGCATTTTCTTCTTCTTTTTTTTTTTCCCTGTATAATCTTGTGTAACCCATTTCACATCCCTCGTGTGCTCATCTGTGTGTCCAATCATCAGTATGCGGATGGAAGATACTGGGTGTATTCTCCAGTTCTTGGCCGTCGTAAACTTAACTCTAGTTCGAGTTACAACGTAAGTCGCTAGCTAGGTAGCTATAGTAGCCTGGGAGACGAGGGATTGCTGCTAGATATGTCAGTGGGATTATTTAATGCATTGCTGCTACAATGTGGTCAAAACAAAAACCAATTTTGATGGATTGTTTGGCTGAAGAGAAACGAAATGCATGTGAAAACGGCTGCCTCTTTGTTTCCTACATCAGCAGTAAAATGTGGTCCATGTATATTCATGCAACAAATATCCAGTGAATGTGTAGTTGGTAATTTGTAGTTAGACTCATCTCTTAGTGACCCCTTGATATTTTTGTTTTGTAGCCCTGAAGCCGGAATGATTCCCTTTCTTCTGCTTTTGTGAATTATCTGATTGATAAAGTTGCACTTTGTATTTCTTCATAGTCCATGGAATTAGTGGTATAAAATATTTAGAAAAAAATTATGTTACTTTTAAGAAGTTAGTTCAGGAACTTTTGAGTCAGATTCTGTTGAAAGTGAGTTATTTCCAGTAAATAATGCATTTACTGTTTTCATTTTGTGCTCATTTTGATTAGCCGGTTCAAGACCAAATCGGATCTTTACCTTTTTAAAACAAGTCCAGCCTCAAGACGTTTATGTTTGTTACTGTATGAATCTTTAAACTATCTTTGTGTTCGCTGTCCCACGCATAACTTGATCATTATTCAGATAGAAAATGAATGTACTTTGAATGGAGAAGCAATTCCGATGAACAGTAAAGTAAACCAGTTTAAAAACAAAAAAAAATGCTCTTGATTTTTTACATTTTTGACATTGGAGTTAATTTAGGACAACAAAAGGTCGCTTTGAGTGTTGCCCCTGTCAAACTGGCCTCCAGTTTCAGCCTCTGGGTTATTCTAAACGAAGATATGTGTCAATGACTGAATGTAGTGCGAAGCGCTCTGGGGTCCTCTGAGCTTGGCAAAGCAGGAGACAAATACAGGCCATTTTATCAGAACCTGACTTCAAAAATCCTGAACTGATCCTTTAGTACAACTTACTATTCGTAAAGTAACTGAAACTAATTTGAGTTGACATATGAACAAACTAAAGCAAGAAAAATCACCAGTTTGACTCTACCTTACCAACATGCACGATGCAACTTTATTCCATTACATGTAGATAAAATGTTTCTTCAAATTCGTTCTTCCCCGCCAATAACCCACCTATTTGTTTTTCTTTTTCTGCTGCCCCATGCTGGTTACTTTGTATAACCACAGACTCAGGAGGACCAGAGCTGTGTTTTCTCTCCTTTCCACTGCAGCTCTGAGTCCAGAAGAGACTCAGATGTGGACAGTGAAACAGTAAGTCAACACTCCGGCCATGATTTATGGTCAACTCTAAAAATACCGAATGAATTGATTTATGCATTGACTTTCTCTCTCCCGTATCTGATATTAATCATCTCTATTTCTCCTCCAGTAATTTCAGTCGGAGGCAGCGGCAGTGGGTGGAGCCAGAGGCTTTCTCCTCACACAAAAGCTGGGAGAGTTTAATGGTACAGGCAGCAGGAGGCTGATGATTTACTACTGGCTGCTGAAGCTGCATGTAAGAGTCTGCTTTGCTTATGAGTAAATCTTATTACCTGGCATTCAGCTGAAAGAATGCAGCTTTGCATTATGCACTCGAACAAATGTACGGAGAGATTTACTGCTAATATAGTGGAAGACTACAACGTAGCCGCGATCAGGACAATTTGCTCATACAGAAGTGGAGAAACGTATAAATCTTATGGTACAATCGGCTCAGTAGCACTGTGAGCAATTTTTGGTAATTGTGATAAAGCTCATGCTTATAACAGGATAATCACTGTCAAGATTCAAACGTCGATTTAACTCCCACGACATAAATATTGTGTCAATTAATTACAATTTAATTTCAGTGCAAACCCCACCATTGTTGTTGTTGTTGTTGTTGTTGTTATTATTATTATAATTATAATTATTATTCTTTTAAAAGCCAAAAGTTTGTGTATAAGTAACAGCTTGGCTGCAGAGGGAGCAGCCGAAGCAAGGTGAATCAAACATTCCTTTCCTCAGCTCTGCCTATGCAATATGTGTTATCGATTCCTCCTATTGACTCACTTGTAATTAGCCTGGACTTCGTTGTGCATTTGTTTTAACTAGAGGGGAGTCAGCCCTGTATAATTTGATTTTAGCACTTTAACTATGTCTTTGATTGATCTTAGCACACACACACACACACACTCAGACACAGTGTAAACCCTTTGCATACAGTGGTCCTCCAGTGGTGTGTGTAGTGGTTCAGTTAAAAAAAAAAAGACAATCTGGAGGCAAGTGGTTTTGTTCAAAATGCCTTATCAACTAACTCATAAGCTTATTTTTTTCTGATAAAATCATAAAAAAGAAAATATGACTTAATAATTCAAATATGGAAAAAAAACTATATATATATATATATATATATATATATATATAGGTAAGTAAATACCAAATATTAGTAGCAGGGTAAAAGAGATAAAACGGTGAGATAATAAAATATCTTTCGTAAATCATTAGTTTTCATGTGCTTGAGCACATGCATGTAAGTGTGTACATGTTGTGTGTGCATGTGTTTGCATGTCTACAGTGTTTGATTGAGAGATGCACATGTTGATTTTTTTTTTTTTCCTGTGTTCTCTTTTTGTCAAATTGTCAAAAGGTGTTGTGACAAGTCATGGAATACAGCAGCATCTCAATAAATAAATAAAAAAAAAAGTGTAAAGACAACTTATTTCAGTAACTCGGCTTGAAAAGTGAAAATCATAAATAGATTTAGTGCACTCAGAATAATTTATTTTAAATGCTTATTCTTATTAACTTTATGAAAGCTAATGAAAACCAAAATGTTTTTTTTTTTTTTTTTTTTTTTTTTTTTTTTTACAAAAGCTGAATTCTACTTAAAACCAACAATGATACTTCATAGTAGAAATAGTTCATGCAATGGCCTACACAGTCATGGAGAAGACGGCTCACACAGTTGTCCATTATTGACACCTACAAGCGGGATACACCACGACGTGTCATTGTTTAATAAAAAGCCTGCATTCAAATAAGTTAAGTACGGAAAGTTGAGTGGAAGGAAAAGGTGTGGAGAAACACAATTTTAGATTTTCATAGTCATACCCACTTGTCCACACAAGGCTGCGGGGGTGCTAGTCGCTACCTCAGCTGCTCATTAGATGAGAGGTGGGGTGCTTCCTGCAGCCCTGATGGCCTGGTTATCTGTCATATTGATAGGTCGCCTCTCCATGACAGAGCAACACAAGAAAAACCCACAACAGACAAATAACTTGGCATTTGCATGCACATGCTAAATGGTAATTTAGAGAGAGCATTCAGCCAAAGATCGATGAATCTGGTCTGTAAGAGGGAGACTGGTCCTGACTGGTCCCAGTCAGGATTTTAGCAGAGGCATTTTTTTCAGACCACAGGATTAGCAAAAGCTAGCTTTCATAATCATCAAATTCAAAGTAGAACTAGCCCATATTAGTCTGTACGTTTATGCAGAAATATGAGTTTCCCTTTTTGAATGGAGTTACTGACAAAAAGTATCTTATGCATTGGAATTTACTGAGTTTTACCTTTATTTTAATCACCTGTTTTTCATGCTTTCACTGTCTGAGAAAAATAAAACGCCGTTGACCAATTGTTTAATGGAGCATGATACTTCATAACATATGCAGAAATGAAAACTCTTCAGTTTTCCCGGCAGTTTGTTTGGCAATACATCTTCCTTGAACTGTGTGACCTGCTGGAACAACAGGGAACCGAATCCCTGTCTTGAGTTTCTTTTTGTACTGTGTCATTTGAGACTGCTGATGTTGACTTGCCTGTTTGTGGGCAACAGTATTTGTAGATTATCACTGTGAAAAAAATAAAATAAAATAAAATGATGTTGTCTAAATATTGTTGGTTATTTCTAATCCGTTCACTCCCCCCACCGCCCCCCCCATTTGAGTTTAGAGAGATCAGTCCACCAGATGGCACTACAGCGCCTGAAAAGGACTCTGCGCTGCTGTATCTTGATTATTATACATCAACACACTGCTTCGTGTTATCTAAAATTGACCTCTCTTTGTTACATTTTAAAATTGAATTTCTCAATCTCGTACGGTGAATTACAAGCCACCTGTAGGCCACGTTTCTCTTTATTGTGGTCTTGATGGACCATAAAAGCGAGGCTCATATTTAAAGCCACATTCATTAGCCCTCCTTATAACACTGACATGTTAATGCACAAAAAAGAATTGTATGACATCTTTATTGCTTCAGTGGGTATGGCTTTTATATTTTATAGCTGCAGGCTGTAGCGCCCGCAGAAGATGGATAGAAAAAAGATTCAATAATGCTTTCTCGTAAGCGGACTCTTTGAGTCTTGTCATAGAGTTTGTACCAGTTACACTTTTTCACATTTGTTGTGATATATTAATGCAAAGTAGTGTACAACTGTGACATGGAAGGAAAAAAAAATGACACAATTTCAAATTATTCTAAAAATAAGATATGCAGTTTTGCATTTTGCATTTAGGACAAAGTGCCATCTGAGCGACTTCTTTGACATGTTTTCTGTGTACTCCTGTGTGGCTTACAGCAAACCAGCAAACTGCATGGAGTTGTTATTGTTGCTCTCTTTCAGCAGTTTAACAGTCTAGCCTCTGTTAATGAACACATTTGTTGTAGGTATGAATATTAATTGTTCTGTCAACAGATTCCTTCACCTGAGCTTTTGGTCGCTGCAGCTCCCCCAGAATAACCGTGGATCGCTTGGCTACTCCTCCAGATTTGAATGTCTTTACCTAACTTGTTTGGGTGAATGGTTGGTCTCTTTACAGGACTGGAGTTGTTCCTCTTCGGCTGCTGGACTGAATAAGACTCTTCAAAGTATTACTTTGTAATCTCATCAGTAGATCTCTTCACGACTTTTTTCTTGAGCTGTCTGCTCTTCTCTGTGATCTTCATGATGCTGTTTCTTCACTAATGTTTTCCAACAAACCTCAGAAGCCTTCACACAACAACTGGACTCAGATTGAATGTTTCACAGATGGACTCCATTTGCTAATTAATCAAATTTTATAGACAGTCTTTGAACTACTTCCTTTATAGTTAGAGAAAAAAACCGGGGGATCATTACAAATGGACAACAAATACTGTTAGTTTTAGCATGAGAAGGATGTTGTAAAGAATTTAGAAAACTTTTTTTTTTTTCCTGTTTTCCGACATAACGTCCTGCCAAATTACATTGAGGTCTGTGGTTGTAATGCCAAAAGTAGTCCAAGGTGTATACATCATTTTAAAGTTTCTGCATATTAAATTCATATTAAGTTACCTTTAAAAATGACTTTTACAAAGTACATCTGAATGAGCACATGGCACTTTTAGAATGCCAGATGTTTCCAGGTGCACATCTGTTACGCTGAGGATGCTTTATGTAGAAGCTGGAGTTGTGTCACTCATGGTGACAAGTCAGCCATGTCTGGCCATGATGGAATGTGTGATGGACAAGGATCAGCAGCCACCTGACCAACTGGCCTGGAATGAAATTTTTCTTGTATACACACACACACACACATTCGCACCCGCACACGTATCCTTATAAACACATAATCCTTTTTCTCCTTCCTATGTCTGTTCAATCAGCTTTCTCGGGTATCTGTAGGGCTTCCTGTTCCGCAAGTACAAGTGGATCCTGAGCACAGGTTATGTTGCAAAACTGTTCAGTCTGATGATGCTACAAATAACCCTGGTTATCTACAATTTTATTAAAAAAAAAAAAAAAAAAGTTTTATTCTCAATTTTTCAACAGTAATGTGTTTGGAGAATCCAAAATGCTGCTTCCCGATGATAAACAGACTGTTTTCAAGATGCCATAGCGACACAAATTCATTGCGGAAAAGCTACATTCTCGCTAGATCACAGGAAGTGGAAGATGAATATATTCTGTAGAAGGACACTTCAGGTTTTCTTGGTGTCTTCATTTAGTATAAATTAGAGATAGACAGATGTAAAAGTACAATTCTGCCACTTTTAAGCAGCACCAATCTTACAAACGGCAATGAGCTCTTAACACGTTAACTCCTGTTACCGTCCCTTGAACAAATGCAATTTTCACTTTTTGTTGATGTTTGTGGAAATGTTTTATTACGTGAAACTTGTATCTTCTTCTTCACATAAAAGAAAAAACAGAAGCAGCTGTTTACCGTTCATTCAGTACAAAGAGATCAAACCCACAGAGAGAGAGAAAGAGAAAAAAAAAAAAAAAAGGGTTGTGAAAAACGGGCGCAGCAGCAGCAGCGGTATCGGACCTTTATGTTGCCTTCACTTGAGGATACTCTGTTTATCTCCACAACCCAATTTCATGCATGTCAGTTGAACTGAAGACAGGATAAACGCCTTTCTTTGTCAGCTGTCCGTTTGCTCCTCTGCTCTGCTGCGTGCTCCCATCCACACATCAGACACCTGTGACTCTGAATGGGAAGAATAGGTTTCTGATTGTCGTGACGTCTTCACCGAAACCTTAGTGGCAAATAAATCTAATAACAAACCTTCTAATTTTACAAAGAAATAAATAAATTGGAGTGGCAGCACCTGTACCAAAGGTGAATGGGTCATCTGAAAGCTGGGCTTTCATCTCTAGGGAGCATAGACAAATGCCTTTGTTCCTTCAAAGAGGAGAGGGGCGAAAGCCACAACAAACAGGGTGTGTGTGTGTGTGCACCGTGTGTGTTTCTG